GTAGTCGGTGTTGACCTCGCATCCGTACAGTGCCCGGAGGAGCAAGCGGAGACGTGGGGGGTGGGTGGTGGCGCTCGGCGGCACGGTTGTGAGGGGGGGCATGGAAAGGAGGGTGGGGGCTCAGCTGAACCGCAGCTTGAGTCGGGGTGGAACAGATCGTTCGGAGCAGGGGGAGACAAAGGGCTGTGGGTGATGTGTATCAAGGCACAAAACAGAACCCAGGTCTTGTGCGAAGGAAACATGAACACGTGCAGTGGAGGCAATAGGTCCCATCGCTCCGCCCGGTGTTGGATTCGTCCATGTTTTTTGCTGCCTCCGAACCACTCTTGTCCCAGATAACTCGACCCCTTCATACACGCACGAAATGGTTGCGTCGCCTCCGTGCTGCGTACGATTCGATGCCTCTCTTTTTGTTCCAGAGTACCAGTCAGTGCCTGCGCCAATCTCATGTCTGGGCAGAGATAGGTCGCGTGAGGTCGCCCCCCGTAAGCGGACCGATCCAAATGAATGTTTTCCTAGACATAGAGAGGGGGCATGAGGCTATGCGCCATGGGACCCAACCCTCGCGCCTTACTACGATGTTTTCTGCCAGGAGGGAAAGCGAACTTCGTACAATTGGAAGATGGTGGGTGTGCGGCGTTTCGCCCAAACGACGGCGGGGGGGGGGGGTAAAAAATTGTTATCTGCTCATGAATGGCTTCAGTTCGTGAGTGGTGATGGTGTAGATACACTCAAGAGATGTTCGAGATCAATGCGTACTGAACATAAGAGAACGAGAGACAGCAGTCTAGCGCTGGTGTTCAAGATCCACACATACACATGCACCTGCGTGCACACCACTAAATACTGAGCTGAGCGACGGTCTTCGAGAGGGACAAGAGCAAAAAAAGGAGAAATCTACAGCAGTAGTAACCGGACATTGTGGGGGGGGCTATGCTATTGGCACCCCGGGATGCCTATAACAGCGCGAGTGATCCCTGGCTGTGTTGTTGTTGGCAAGAGGTGGGAGGAAACACACGGGGAATGGGCGTGTGTCTCACTATACATCGGCGATGCAGGTGATGACCCAAAGCGGCCGATCCACGTACCGGTATCCAAAACTTTGCACCGCAGGAAATACGAACTCTCACCGACAGAGGCATCGTCAAGCACTGATCGCCGTCCCAAACGTTCGGAAGCAGAGGAAGCCAAGACAGATAAAACACGACACCAGCCACGCTCGTGTGGATGGCCGCGGCGAGGGATTGGAACAGCAGTCAGAGGGTGAGTGACTGGCGTGCGGGTGCGACTGCAGAGGGATGGCGGGGAGAGTGAAGGGTACTGTAAGCCGGAAGTATTCTGCGGAGCTCCTCGTAGTTCCTCCGCACCTCGGAGGCAGCAACAACCATTATGTCATCCTCTCATGCTCTCATCTCCAACTCTGGGGGTGGCTGGTTTCAGCCGGGTGTGAGCACTCTGATGATGAAACACCTCACATCATCCATGCGCTTTTTGTCCCTGCGAAGGGCCCGCTCCCGGTTGCGAAAGAGGTGATTTTGACTACCTGCAGAATTTGATGGGCAACGTTTTTGTCATGAAAAGAGCCAGCCGTACCAGCATGCTTTTGCTACCGTGTTTGGTGTTGCGGTGTTGTTGTATTCCTCTTGCTCGATCCTTGTCTATTCTCGCGAGCTACTGCATCCCCTGCTATTGTGGCAGCTTTTCTTGCTTGCTTGAGACACAGCAGTAGTTATACAGATGCTTCCTTTTTTTGCGTTGTTTTTGCGAAATACTTCACCAAGAAAACGCGCTGCGCCCTCACGTAGTAACGGTTCCACGCCCCTGCTGTGGATCATGATGCCTCTCTCCCACACACCAGCACCAGCACCACAGGCCTCTTCGGCAGAAGCTACGCGTCCGTAACCGACGCCGACCTCGACTTCTTCCGCGGCGTCGTTGGCGCCGACCACGTCAAGACCTCCCCCGAGGACCTCGAGAGCTTCAACACGGACTGGATGAAGAAGTACCGCGGGGCTTCCCCTGCGGCCGTCCTGCCCAGCAACACCGATCAAGTTTCCCGCTTGCTTCGGCACTGCAACGAGCGGCGAATCGCAGTCGTGCCGCAGGGGGGCAACACGGGCCTCGTCGGAGGGAGCGTGCCCGCCGGGCGCGCGGGCGTGGGGGAGGTGGTGCTGTCGACCTCGAGGATGAAGAGTGTGGTATCGTTCGACCCGTTGGCCGGGGTCCTCACGTGCGAGGTATGTATACATACGCGGTGGCGGCGGGGCTTGAACGGTTGTGCACCCCGCACAGCGATGGAATGCTTACCCGGGAGTGAGCAAAAGAACGGGCGAGATGCTCTTGCTACGCTGTGCAGTCGGTTTGTCTTTTTATGCCTATCACGTCTGATTCTTGAGCTCGCGAGGAAGCCAAATAGGAGAGCACAACCCGGGGTGTTGAGAAAAGGGCTACTTCGCACTGGCAATGTACACCCAAGCGAGCCAGACGCACACGATAGGTTGTACGGGTCAACCGTTCTGAGATTTGAGCGCTGATGGGTGAGGGGCCCTGCATCACCCTCGTCGATACCGCCGCTAGTGGGTGGCTTCTCGATCGAGAGTGTAATGGCTCTCCCGCGGCGCACACCCACGGTCCAGTCTCCGCACGCCTATACCCCTTGCCCCCCCCAATCATTGGTACACAGGCTGGGTGTATCTTAGAAAATCTGGACGCCTACCTGGCCGAGCAGGGGTTCGCGATGCCGCTCGACCTGGGGGCCAAAGGCTCCTGCCAGATCGGCGGCAACATCTCCACCAACGCGGGCGGCCTCCGCCTTCTCCGGTACGGCTCCCTACACGGCTCGGTCCTCGGTCTCGAGGTGCGCGCGGGTTGTCGTTGACTTGTCGGTGGAGCGGAGAGCAGCAGCAGCAGCAGCAGCAGCAGCAGCAGCAGCAGCGGTTTTCTATGTAGCAGGAGCAAAAGGTGTGCGGCAGTCAGTCGACGTTGGAGAGACCCCGCGCTACTCTCGCAACCACCGGGTGCGATGAAGGATGAAGGATGAAGGATGAAGGATGAAGGATGAAGATGGAGTAGTTGACGTCCCCCATCGCAAGGGTTGTACACCCCCCCTCCTTGCGGGCGCACACACGCACAACACGCGTTGGGCCAACGCGTTTGTCTGCTGACGGTATTCAATTCTCTGTTCGTGGCCCGTGGTTTATCTCCCCCCCCCCGCCCCCCGACGAGCTGAAAGAAGAAATAGGGGAACGTAGAGAAGTCTTCAAGCAGTACCTGGGTGAGGGGTCTGAAGAGAGTTGGGAAAAGTACAGGGCCAAGAGGAAACAGGTGAAGGGACTAGTGAAAAAGAAGAAAAAGAGCATTTGGGACGAAGTAGTGCAGAAGGCCAACGGAGGCCTGGAGGGGAACGTCAAGCAGATGTGGGAAGGGATTAGTGGGATGGTAAAAAAGACCGCGCAAGGGGGGGATACAGGGGTAGCAACATTGCGAGGTGTGAACGGTGGACTAGTCAGCAGTGGGAAGGGAAAAAGGGAAGTTCTAGCAGGACACTACAAGAGACTTGGAGTGCCTTCGGAGAATGAAGATTTTGACCAAGTGTTTAAGAAGGAGGTGGACGCATGGGCCCAGAAAGAAGAAGAGACATCGAAGGCAGACGTTGGGAACGTAGAACTAGAAAAGGAGTTCACTGAGGACGAGGTTGAGGCGTGTGTGAACAAGCTGCAGTGCCACAAAGCAGCAGGGGCGGATGGGATAGTAAACGAGTTCATGAAGTTTGGGGGCAAGGGGATGATCCAGCTGATGGTACTGCTATACAACTGGGTGTGGAAAAACGAGTATGCGCCAAGTAGATGGAGGGAAGGAGTGGTTGTGAACTTGTTTAAGAAAGGAGACAAGACTGACCCAGGAAACTACAGGGGTATCACACTGTTGAACACAGTAGGAAAAGTGTTCTGTAAGCTGCTGAACGATAGGATAGTGGGAGTATTGGAGAAGAAACGTAGCATTAGTGAGGGCCAGGCAGGTTTCCGACAGAAGAGGGGGTGCGTAGACCACGCATTCACGGTAGGGAGAATCATCCAAGGTAGAAAGAGGGCGGGCAAGCGGACGTACTGCTTCTTCCTGGACGTGAAAAAGGCATACGATACCGTATGGAGAAATGGGCTGTGGAAACAATTGTCCAAGTACGGGATCAAGGGGAAAATGTGGAGGGTGCTGAAGAAGATGACAGAGTGTACGAAAAGCGCGGTCATGCTAGACGGAGAACTGTCTAAATTCTTCGACATTGAGCAAGGGGTCCCACAAGGTTGCACGCTGTCCCCAACATTGTTCCAGGTGTTCATCAACGATCTGTTGGAAGTCGTAGAGGCAGTCCGGAAGGGAGTAAAAGTAGGGGACACGGAAACTTCGGTGTCAGGAATGCTGTTTGCGGATGACTTTGTTGGTATGTCGGACACCCCTGAGGGACTGCAACTGCAAATTGACGCGGCGAAGAAGTTTACTGATAAGTGGAGATTGTCTGCCAACGTTACGAAGAGTGCCGTCATGGTATGCAACGAGGGCAGGGAGGAACCAGTAGAACATAGATGGAAGTGGGGGATCGAGGAGATTGCAGTAGTGGACCAGTACACATACCTCGGAGTAGAGATCGCAAAAGATTGCTCGTGGAATGCACACATGTCCAAGGTAGCGGAAAAGGGCAAAGCACGAGCAGGGAAGCTGCACCCAATACTCGCAAACCGGCACCTTGATACACGCATCAAACTGACGGTTTTGAAGAGCGTAATCGTACCGCCGCTGGAGTACGCCGGAGAAGTATGGGAAGGAAATAAGAAGGTAGTGAAAGAACTCGAGGCGGCGCAGATGAAAGCAGCGAAAATCATCCTAGGATGCTCCAAGCGCACAAGTAATGCAGCAGTCAGGGCAGAATTAAGGACCCAATCCCTACGGTCGGGAAGAGACGTAAGGAAGCTGACATGGCAGTACCGCATGTGCGGGATGGGAGAGGAGAGGTTGCCGAGAATAGTATGGGAGGCGAAGTGGGCAAACAAAAAGAGGGGTAGACAACCCACGGAATGGGTCAAGGTTGTAGAGGACGTATGGAAGGGATTGGACATCGACGAAGATGAAACGCTGGAAACGGAGGGTCTACAGGGGTTCAAGAAGAAGATATCTGTTGCTTGTGCCGAGAGAGAAGAACAGAATCTAAGGAAAGAAACCAAGGATAAGGAGGGTCTAGAAGTGTACGGAATGTTGAAAGAAGGAATAGGGTTCAAGGATTACCTACATGGACCAATGGATGCAGGGACAAAGCTTAAGGTCAAATTCAGGACTGGGGACATAGGCCTTCGCGAACGTCGACGAAGACATAGGACGGTAGACGACGAAGACGACAAGTTCAAATGCGATTGCGGCTTCGAATGCGAAGACAGTGTTCATGTAGTCGCGGAATGTCCGTGGTACGAAAAGGAGAGGGAAGTGTACATGACTGAGCTGGGAAGAATACAAGGGACGTACAGGGAGATGTTTGAGGCATGGAATAGAGAGGAGAGGACGGTAGCTGTACTGGGGAGTAGAAAGTGGTTTGAAAAAGCGGGAAGTGACATCGGTAGGATAGACAGACTAGGAAAGAAATTTTTGAGCCAACTTTGGCAAAGTAGGAAGGAACGATTGACCATCGGTGATCGGTCCTGTGGGAACAATGCTCCGTCCTCTCGAGGACGCGTGGTCAATGGTCTAACCGCTAAGGCATGCAAAGCATAAGAGTACGCCC